ACACACACACACACACACACACACACACACACACAGAAAGATGCTCCTTCTCAAAGGGTTACTGTATGACTAGAGCTTGAGGTCACGACGCAAGCTCCTACCTGGAGGGTTCTGCGGTCTGGATCTTTTACTCTTTTAGACTGCGCTTGTCTACACCGGCTATTTGACAATATCCTATCCCGTGATGCCTCAATAATTAAAGGCCTCATAAGTATCAGCCGGAAGCAAACACTAAAAACCGGAAAACAGTATTTCTGGTACGTCGGATTCACAGCATGTATAACTCCTCAGATCCATATTTTCAATTGCACCGGCAACGATAAAAAATCCATTTAATCTGAGGCTTCAATGTCGGACTGTTGAAATATGGCTTCATCATTTTGTTTCTATTGAATTACATATCTTAATGATATACAACACAAAATATGTCTACTATCGGGAATTCCTGCTCAATTGTACATTCAAATATGACAGCGATGTCATACTATGGTTGACATTTTCTGATTGTTATAGTGCTAAAAATGTGGTATGGGAAAGTGAAGTAGGCACAAGATAAGATAATACAAGCTCGTTTCATGAGTGCTATTTGACAGCCCTTCAACTCTATCGAACGCACGTTGTAATCGGTCGACTGGTTGGGCATAAACTCTACTGTCCTCAGAGGACGAGGGTACCATCAAATCGCGCAAGCTCAGAATCCAGATGGACCGAAACTTCCAAACTAAATTGGAGCCAAAATCCACTACTCAAACTAGCTAACAGCCACACACCACGAACGTATACGGATCATCAAATCAAGCATTTTCCACGGCCTACGATGATACGTGCAACGAATTTACACATGAGTGCCGTTGGCTTGTTCGCTGATGATGTCACCTTGATTGGTGATGAAACGTTTCCAATGAAATCGCCCAGCTCAGCGAGCAAGCCAACGACCATCTACGCTGCCTGAACTACCAACATTTTCCTTTATAGAAAACATATGAGTGTAACTGCCAACACGTGACTGAACACCATAATTCTGAAAGGAGAAACCAAAAGCTAATGAAGCAATTGCTACGAATTACCTTCAGACCTATTTTGATCACACCCAGAAGCAGTGATTCGCGGTTGGGTTCAACTGGAGCAAAAATATCCACGCGCTGTGTAAATAACCGTCGAATTTGGGTAGCCAATGAAGGATCCATTTCGCCTGTTCCAGGAGGAATTCCTGAACTACTGGATCGACTATGCTTTTCCAAAAAATGTGAAGAACCACTAGGTCGAAGGCTGGAAACACCACTGCGTCCGGAACGCGAATCGCTCATGCGATCTTTGTTGCGAGAATTGGACGGTAGAAGCTGAGCAATCTTAAAGGCACAGATGTTTACGAAAGAGGCCGGTAAAAATCCAGTATGTGGGATGAAATGTATCGTAGGATACGAGACTACGAGGTGAATGACAACCGGTGTATTTCACAGCATTCAAAACAAAAAACAAACTATTTAATGAGTGCGCCCAAAGCTTCTACAGGAAAAGGGTAATACTTTGTTAAAGTGTGACGTTAGCAGTCCTCAGCCACCCAGATAGGGGGATTTAAGTACGAAATTGATCGGTTCATTTGCTAGCACGAGGCCTGGTTCTGATCACACTCAGTCTTGTAACAGCGATTTACACTTTGCAGGTGCGTAAAGCACGACAAACTGTGTATCAGAATTACTCCGACTAACCTAATTAGTTTGAATTTCTACAGAGCCTGATACGAAAAGACCGATATGGCCAGCGTATCCCATGTTTGTGAGCATTTCCATCCTCAAAGCGATAGTGGAAGACAAAGAAGATTCTAGTAACATAGGGATTAGGAAGTTGAATAGGAACGGTCAAAGAGGGCAGTCACGCCTAGCACCGGTGAATGTAGCGACCATAGCTGAAAGCTTGTCGTCCAAAACAACACGTATATAGGTCCTCTACGAGAGACAATATTTTACGAGAGGCAATATATTTTCCGACCAACTGCGAAAATGAATTGGGCATCCACTCTTCTCGCAAATCGCTCAGCTAACGTCCACCCTCATCGGATCGATTGACCGGACAGGTTGAAATAGTGCAGCTACTTCCTGCCACAAAGCCTCCATCCATCCACCAAACCTTCGCTATTCATGAACACTCCCTTTCAGTCTTTAATCCTCTCGCAACCCGGCCTACGTGCGTTCTCAGTCGCTTGTTGGTGGTGTAGATTTTCTGGAGACCGATAGTGGGGACGTTCGTTAAAACATACAGGTGACCTCAAACAGCTGTGAGGATAGTTGATGTTTGGTTTTATATTTTATATATTCCGTCTTTCCACNGCGTTCCGACCTATTCTTGAAAGGTTTAGAACCGAGTCAACTCGATTCGCTCTCCGTTGTCTGCAATTAGCGGAAACATCAACACTAGACTGCCTAGATGGGCGATCAGAGCCGATCAGAGCCTTCATGGTATCTGTCGTTGTCGGAATATTTGCGCTTTTTGATGATCGAATCAACGGTGGAAAACATGGATAGAAGCTATCTTTGTCGGCGTCTGAGTTGCTGTCGGACGCAGCGAATGCAGATACGACAAATAAATGCTAATCACCGTGTCCAAATGAGTTCGCCTTAATTGAGCTGGTCGTCCGAGCTACTCTACTGACTTTTTATTGGAAATCAATCCAGTAAAGCTCTTGCAGTCTTGACACCGAGTGCAACTACTACGCCGTAGATACCACAAGTTAGTACATCAGGATCAGCAGAAACCTCCTTTGTTGGGGCGTTCGGCATTAGAATACTTTCATGGCACCAGAAATGTGCAACTCCCGTACTCGGTGCGCTTTGTAACTGGATCGTGTTTGATGCCTTTAAGTCTTCGGTTAATATAGCATTTTTGTGGCAAATCTCCCTCTCACAACCCGAAGCCAAACGGTCGTCTCATTGGTCCAGTAAAAATACACCCACACAATGCACGCAAATGAGCCCAGCCCTGATCAGTTCCTAAAGGCGTTCGTTCATGAAGAGTTCATTAAATATGTTATGCCTGCATCCAGTGAGTATTCCTTATATTCACCCCAAATGGCGATCTTATACGCTTGTCGCGCATCACCAGGATAATGATGGTATTAACGCGCTTCTCTTCTTGTAAATGAACTGCAACTAGGGAGCAAAAAAGATATTTGAGCTATTGGTACTTCCACATCTGCCATCTGTTTTGATAAGATGAAAGGGTAAACCGAATGACATGTCCGCAATGGCATCGAAAAATTGGATCAGCCATCAAGAAAAGCACAGGTAGCTCGAGCGATTCGCGATACCCGTTGGTTTATCTCAACATGACAGTCCTAAATCTCCTAACCAAAAGTCAGGTAAATCCCGTTCAGAGGACCTCAACAAAACTCATCCTGGTTGTGGCATTCTCTGAGGGGAAACTCCTAAAAGGTATTAAATGTGCCGAACCCAAGAGTACACTAACGCTACCTTAAACCCAGTTCTCCAAGTCGACAACCATGAACTCAAACCACTGATAAATAGATTTTTTGCGGATACAAAAACAGGTGTCAGACAGTTTTTTTTATTTTGTTGAAATAAGTCCGCATTTGTTCTATTTCGAGTTCGAGTACACAGGTTTCCATTAAAACAGACTCACATGGTTTCCACACGTTTGGGAGAAAAGCTGTAAATTTCCATGCTTCTAAACGAACTTTTGAACACCTCGCGAGGACATATTGATCTCTGAGTTGTCACGCGTGGAGTCAGCCAACAGTGGATTATACGCTCTAAGGATCACAAAGGCTATATCTCCTGTCTAAGTGCGAATTAATCACACTATTGATCATTCGCTCGTAAGAGAGCAGTTAAGTTTAACTAATAGTGGGGAGGATCGGGTCCAAAACTCTGGAGTTTCGTGAGATGCATACTGCTTATGATTTTCAACAAGGACACAAAAGTTGTACAATGCTTCCTGACTTTTCAGCATAGATAAGTCTCGCTTATGGGACTAAACCCCGACTGATAGCTCTTAACCGCCATAATTTTAGGTCTCTAAGTGAGGGGCATTCGCGTTTGCATAGAGACACACAGCACGGGTACGCAAACTCGACTTGCCTGCTTGTCCAGGGCGTTCAAGTCTTCAATCACACGCTTCACAACCGAGCGCACAGAACGCGGTTCCAAATTCTTCAACCAATCACGAGCTTCCACGCTCTTGCGCAGTAGTTGAGCCAGACTGGTTCCCTCAAGGCGAACATATGCGCTTAGAAGAGTAATGGACAAGTCACGAAACTGGTCATTCAGTTCCTTTGGAGTGGTCGGTTTCAGTTTTGCTGGTCTGCTGCCTGAATTCTGGCGAGAGAAAGATGGAGACCAGGTTTTTTGTCCTGTGAAGTCAACGGAAAGGATGTTAGGTGGAGTGAGTAATGTTGTGTAGAACAACACCAGTTCTCTGCTTTCCCCGAAACACGAACAGGTAAGGCAGTTGACAATGGATGATAGTAGTTATCAGAAACACGCTACACTCAATCACACTTTACACTGGCTACTTTTTAACGAACGACAGAACAGTCCATATGGTTCTAAAGAAAGGTGAACGCATGCTAATGGTGCCTGCTCAAGATGCTCAAGTTTTATTGAAGGCAAAAAAACATTCCATGTCTTTGGCTCTTGGACAGCTTTTTCTATCATGTGACACACGTGACAATTCGCCGGTCATGGGACAACTTCTTCAGTAGTCAGATCATCTGTCAGCATCAGAAACGTGCATCTGAGGTAACTGATAAAGCTCCCTTGGGCTGGAAATAAACTACCACGCTAAATATTGTCCGAGTTTTCCCATTTTCAAAAATGTCACCTTTCTTTGAGAAGAATGGGGTCAAAATAGTCGAAAATTTGCGGTTCCAACCCTCCCCCCCCCCGTTTCTTTTTGCTTTGCGCATGAACCCAGTAGTTCCGAATGGTGTCCGTGTTCGATTTATTTTGACAGATATGGTCGAATGTAACATAAAGCTCGGTAATAACCGGGGAATCGGCACATTCATGATTTAAAATAAACTCTGGGCGAAAGCCCTTATACCGGGTTAGAAAGATTGAATATACTTTGGTGAAAATCCGCAGAGCGGAAAGATTGTGGTTAGCCTCTGGGGTCAAATCTTTTTGTCTAGAGATTAAATCAGCTGTTGAGTCATTACAGAAGCAGAATGAAAGGAAACCGGAAAATAACCTTGCAGGCCACGTGTTCTACCGGATGAACTATAAAACTCTTTCCTGGAGTCAAGTTGATGGCAGTGATCTCGGCGCCTTTACATAAAATATCAGGATGAAGTAATCAACGGTGCAGCGCGTGATTCCTCTGTGTTAGCACCGCCCAGACACTCAACTGAGAGAATTTTACAAATTTGCACTATTACAAACAATGCGACGCAAAAAAACTGACATACAACTCAGCAACTTATTCACAGGGTACATACCTTGAGAAAGCATTTCCTCCGGAATGGTCAGCAAATGACCAATAGAACCTGAATGTGCCCAAGTTAGCGAAATTTTGGCCAGGAGCAGCAAGATAGTGCTTGGCACTCGCCCTGCAGCTGTCTGAAATCAGAAAAATGGTACTCCAGTAAGCCGAAATTCGAAGCTACCGAATAAATTCAGCGGAGCTGTGGTACCAATATTGGGTGTATGATCAAGATCAATGAAATGAAGTTACAGGCTGCGTTCCGCCTCAATTGTCCTGACTCCCAACGCTACCATAGCCATGGCAATTCACGGGCTAAAGGAACTAACAGAGCTGGTCCACAAACAACTGAATACTTACAGCCACTTCGTCGTAGCAACAACTATAAAAACAAGAACTACCTCCCTCAAGTGTTCCATTCGTCGGATTCCAGCGCCCCTTGCTGATAGTTTAACAGCCGGTCTAGTTTCTCTTCAACGGCAAAAACAACTGTCAACTGATCTTATCATTTTGTGGAGGGAAACTGAAAGCTTAGGGATGAAGAGAGTGTCGTCTTTACGAAGCATTGGTCATTTCAACTTGGGATGAAGAGAGTGTCGTCTTTACGAAGCACTGGTTAGCATTGTCATTTCAACTTCCCGAACCATAAGAGGGAGACGTTACTGAGGGTTCAATTCAACCCAGTCAATCGATCTAGCAGTCTCGAGCTGGGTACAAGATAATAGGTACCAGATAACGGATACAATCGACGACAACGCGACCCATAGAGTCACCTAAAGAACCATTTTGATACCATGCAAAGCGAGTGAAAAAGAATGTTCTAGTAGTCCAATAACTCCAAATACGGTATCAGAATGACTGGGTAAGACTGGCCGTCAAAGTTGAATTTCTAACCAATCCTCACGTTTACGTTGGGCACTCTTATTCGAACACGTCAGTTCATACAGCGCAGAGCGCTTCAAAAGTATTCAAAATGACGGGGTAAAATGAGCATAAGCTGATCCATATCGTTTCGCCTTACTAATCCTACATTAACATTGTGAGAAAAGTCGCAAGACGCTGTATTTACCGAACAAAACCGCTTTCGGGAAAACTCCAATCAACCGTAATTCACATCGTATCATTGAATCGCGGTAAGCTCATCTCAATTTCTCAGTTGAGAAATCACCAAAGACGTTATGTTTACCGGAAAGAATTGTTGGATAACGAGGCTATCGGTCACGATAAGCGACAAGCGAAGCGTTTATCAAACCGGGCCGACTACGGGCAAAAAAGTTAAATCAGGCAGAAGATCTGGTTACCTTAACAGTGACCAAGTGAATGGCAATGACCTGCTACCCGGTGTCTGCTCAAAACCAAACCAGATTTTGGAGATTTGGTCAACACAAGATCTGTGGCACGTTCCAGGACACATGTGTCCATAGATACAGTGGCCAACTAAACATACTGAGTGACTGGTTAATGAAATCTATCAATCGGTGTATGGTCAACATTTTATCTACTCTTTACTTTATACAACTCGCATTTTCCCTTGACCTGCATTGGTTGTAGGAACTATTTCATTGTCACGAGATCAAAAGACCAGCACCACACTGTCACATGACGGGAGTGGTTGCCGTTGGGAGTATACATCCAGGGGGATCTAAAAGTTGTCTACGCGAGACTGTGCTAATGAATGTTTGTAGAATCCAATTACAGTGGAACCAACACTTTACACAAGAGTGGTCTGGGTAGGTGAGAAGATAAAATCTTGGATTTCCACTTTGTTGACCCGAATTCGAACCCCACACGCTTTAAAGTTGGCAGTCAGCCCCAGCTCTGACAATATGTGACATGTGTACAATATGTGAGATAGTATGTACACATCTCGTTCAAAAAATAAAAAGTTAAGAAAATTTAACCGTTAAATATGGGTAACGGGAAGTAAAGGGTAGTTAGACGAAAGAGCCACCGCTAATACAGCATAATTTATCATGAATATCAACATCATTACCATCGATGATAAATAATTCTTCTTACCACTGTTTTTGCCATTATAGCTGTTAGCATTATTCCTTTCTACGTCTTACTATAATCAGCTAACTAACCATTATTATTTTTTAAATGTGAGTGGGCAATGTTGTCACAATTTAGTGGCGGTGCGTTATAAAACATCGGATAAGAACATCATTTTACATCTAAATGAAAGTCCACCCTTTGCAATTAGTGGTTTCCATTTCCGCGTTTCACTCCAGATGATGTAATCAGTGTTAGCTCTTTTGGCAGCGTAATAAAGAGGCATTTCATGTGCACTTCGCCATGACCGTTCTCTTGCTCAGAATGTCTCTGCACACTTCGATAGGTTCTATGAAAGTGAACCTAAGGTTGCTTCCGACATCCCATGACCAGTTTCCCCTCCTTAGGACTCATCAGGTAGGCGCAGTTTCCAAGTTTCTGTCAACCTTATGTTCTACTTGAACCCAAATTGGACGGATCTCAACAAATACACTAAGCCTACGGGGTCCAAGAGGGCGGTGCGCGGCTTCACTGACAGGGATCCACCCTGGTTGAATGGAATAAGAAGCCCAGATCAGGAAACCGGATCAATTAATTCCCGGTTTTATCACAGTCGATGAGCGAAATCTCCTCTGCATCGTGTGGGGCTGCCCGCTTTGATGTGAAACGGAGTTGTACAAGGTGTGCATACACTACTGACGTCTCACAAGTAGCGAAAAAACTCTGAGGAGGGATGATGTCTCGATGGGGCATTTCGCGCAAACTGCAAAACCATTCCGCTTCATCATTTACCTTAAACATTGTTGACGACAAGTTGTTCGAAGCTCCCCTTAAGTACCTCAGTAGTTCAAACGTTGCGATGGAGTTCGCTCACAGATGCTGAATATGAGGATGGCATTCTCGAACGAGATCTATCGGAGACTCAAACCACTTCAAACAACCTAGTTAACTCTAACACGTGGCTTACCATGAGAAACAGGAATCAACGTTCCCTTAATAAGGGTTTATAGTTACTAAGGTGAACTGCGTGGCTGAACCGGAAATACGAAAAGTATGACGGAGGATACACAATGTCGAAATTATCAGAATTATGAACCAAACACTCCAGTAAACCCAATAACCACCTGAAAAACAGCGATCGAACGACAAAAAAGTCCACAGAACTTCACTTACGTTGGCCAGGTCGTCCAGAGAGCGCAGCAAAGACTTCATATAGCCGACTACAAGGCGCTCACGAAGTCCAACGAGACAAAAATGCGCGCTAAAATTTTGGTTCTTCGTGAAAGTATTTTCCGGGTTCAGGAAAATCTGAAATAAAACGAGTAGAACCAAAGGAGTTCTCGGGACACTGACGTGATTTGTGATATGACATGAATGTCACTGTTGAGGTGCTTAAGCAGTTTCTGTAATTCTCCAAGAATCTCTTAAGAATGGAGAAGGACACTCAACCATTTGACAGCTGAGTCTTGAATGACCGATTGAAAACTCTACGAGGATGCCTAACAGCGGAGTGGTGATAAAAACAAAGTCCGGCAGGGTTTAACATTCGCTAGCGGACTTCATATCATCGAAGTTATTGGCACTTCCTTAAACCATCGACATTGGTCGGCTAAAAATCGCAGCACACCTGAATTTTTTTCGATATGGCTGTTTGTATGGTTTTTGGTGAATCAATCCACACTAGTGTTTAGGCCAACTGACAGGGATGCATTCACTTTCTTACTTTAGTGATTAACCCAATCGACCAATCCATTCGCGAACGAGTTCCTGATTAACACTCATCCGTTTGACCATGCTTGTTGGAACGCATGACTTAGTAATGGTTGAACAGAGGTTGCGTGGATGAACTAGGCCATATTTTAACTGCAAATGCAGCGATTAGCCGAATACACCGATTATTCATAAAAGAACCGGTCGCTCATTCGTAGTTAGTTGTGGCACTTGTAGAATCCGAATTAATATCGATCGGTTCACGTTCACTCGTATGGCACTTGCTGTGGGAACCCTGACAAAGAAGTGGGACGAGGTGGAATCCCATCACAGTCGTTTGATATCATCAGGAAAAAGAAGTACACACACACACCCGTTACGCGACTGGCGATGATAATGGTGGCCTTAGGGTTAATGAGATCAACATTGGTTTATCCAACCAACGGCGGCTGCACCGGTATCGGCCGTTACTTTAACTTGGTTGCGAACACCTAATGATTCTCAGTAAGGATGAAACAGTTGTACAGTGCTTCTCGGCTATTCATCACAGACTGACTTCACTTGCAGGATGGGATTACCACCAGATAGATGAACAAATGCCGTTCATCTAGTATACTCCGCGGCGAATAAACTCACAGCCATTAAACGGCATACAGGGTTTCACGCAGTTCAGGTTTTAACAGAGTTTAACCACGGACTTGCTGCTAAACACAAAGTACCTCTGCTGGAACCAGATCAAATAAGCCATCAAAATCACTGAAAGAGTGCGTGGGTTCCTTGCAAGTCTACTGCACATGTATTGTAGGAAAACACCGACGACCCGGTTGGTATCGTCATCATAATTGTATGGTGAAAAATGTACAAGGAAGTCTGGAACACCAATTCGTGAAAACTCACTTCAAGACCTTTAAGAGCATTCCGTATTTGTGTGGTAAGTCCGTAATTGAGTGTTTCCAACATAGAAGACAATTGAGTACCGCTCCGACTGTGACTGGTCGTCAGAGAAGATGGACTAAGATGGGGAAAGAGCAGACGTAATAAGCGATCGTTGTAAAATCTGCTCCAATTCTCGTGGGAAAAACTTAGTGGTAAACCATAGAAAGGGGAAAGAGAGTATTCTACGGCAACCACGCATCAATGTCAACACGAGTTTTGCTGCACCCGGTATTGATACGGTTGTGAAGCAAAAGTGGCAGTAAGCTTGGACTCTGAGTCTGCACAAAGCGCAATCCTTCTGACCGTCAGCCTCACCAAATCAGTTTTCTTGTCGAAGCAAGGAACTCAAGGAACTCGAAATGCTCCTAGGGTCTATCCAAAGAGAGTTTCCTTCAACGGTGAGGTCTGTCTGGAGGAAACCATTACGTAGCATACCAAACAACAGCTGGTATGCTCTGGCAGCGAACCCCTATTCCAACAGATAAATAAAGATTTATCACGATCATCTGTTGGCCTCACCCAGGAATCTAAACCAAGAAAAGGTGGATGATACTGAATCCCAAGTTCCAAGGCTGTTCCGTGAAGTAATTCGTCGTTCCACACTAGGTCATGCAAAAAGCTAACCAAACAACTCCGAACCGAAAACGAAGGAAACTGATGTCAGAAGCTAGTAAAAAACCCCAAACGAACTTAATCAGATGCCTCAAAAACAGAAATCGGTTAGATCTCCAGCGCAAAATAACCAAAGTTGATGCGAGCGAAGTAGGATTAATACAGTGACTACAGTGATGGAAGCAACATGTTTCACGGCCCATCCTCCCGTGTATTATGTACATTGTGGCGAAATAATACAAATTTAAACTCCTCACCAGTAGCACCGAACGAAACACCCGAAATGGGGACTAAAGAGGGAGAGGCCACCAATGATTGGCACATTTTTTATCTGACTGGAACTGATGGTGGCATGACTTCGAATGAGACGTTTCCCTCTTTTATCTCACATTCTCCGGTTACCCTTTCACATTCATCGCTCACATTCACTTTTTATGTTTGTGACCATGCTCTTCAAAAATAAATGATGATGGTATATTAGTATAAATTTAATGTGAACTTGTCAAACAGACAGGCTACTGATACGAGTGATCCATGGTTAGATTATCCACATTTCGGTCCCCAAACGTTCGTTTACACAATAACGTCATCTTAACTCCACTGATTTTCTTTCCATATATTGACTCAAAACCCTTTCTACAAGCAGATTGCCGGTGACACTAAGTTGTCTCTTGGACAAAATGGCGTACACTATAGAGGCAGGCGAGAAACAGGAAGCAAAAAGTCAGATGTCTCTTACACGTTTTCAACAAAATGCAGTGAGATGTGACGAAGGCCGTTTTAGCCACAGTGTATACTCATAAATTTAATATAAATTCCTGGGATTGTCGCTCTAGCCTGCTGAAAGTTGACCATCGCCAATGAAATAATTTCAGTTCCACAAACCATCGGTTGATCGATCAGGCATCGAGGAGAGCAATCCACCGTTCGAATAGGAACTCAAACCTAGATGGTGAGCTGGTGACATCGTTCTGTTGGGCAACAACCCAGGTGAACTATAAAATATGATAGGCCAACTAACATAATAACCAACACTTATGAGACTAGAACGGCGCCAGAACAGCCTCTCAAAACAGGCCACGAGAAGATCAAGCAAGTCATATATCTCTAGAATCTCCAACACCAGGCAGAAGAATTCCAACGCAATGACAGTGTTCAGCACTCCTTTAAACAGTTGAACGTCTCACGAAGAAGAAATAATAATGGTCAATGAGTAAGGCTTGGGTTCTTTCCAGTGAAGAGTTCAGTCTCGAAAATGCAACTCCTACTAGCATGAGATATCTAAGGCACCACCGATGTCGCCGATGAATAGTGAAAGTACCCTACCTACGGTAAATATACGCTCCTGAGATCCGGAAGCACTTTCAAGCATTCCCTTTAAAAATGACACCGAAAGCGATTCAAGAATCTACACCGGAGGAACGACACTGAGAGTTCTAATCAAACCCCAAATTTTACAGAGTACGGCGTTGTGGTTTCAAACGACAGTTGATGATTTGGTTCAGCATGTCCATAGGTGATCTCGAATCACTTGAACTCCATACGGTCTACGGAAACAGCCATTGGGACAGACTCCGGGTCACAATTAGGGAGGTACAAGGACTGACTTCCACTCCTTGGTAGAATTTAAACGAGGCATTTCTGAAAGTAGGGTTTTCCTTCCAAAGAAATTGGCGCTTCAACGGGAAATACGTGATGCTGTTGCCATTCACGATGACGGTGATATCACATATGGATTGCCCCGTACCATTTGTTGGTAGTGAAGTTAAATACATTGAAACAATCGGAAAGGTAATAAGGCAAAATAAGACCGCTTTCAAAGTCGTTGAAACATCTCTCGACATAAAAGTTTGGCTGAGCGCTTGTGAGTCACGAATAGAGTAACACACTGAAATAATCTGTTCAATGAAGATTTCATCCAGTGGAGCCTATCTATACTGAAAAGCCGACAACCACTGCACAGCTATTCATTCTTAACCCACACTCACACCGGACATAGCGCCATTCATCCTTCAATCACAGAATCCCTCCCGCTTGGTCACGAGCTGCCTGGCTCCTCGAGTGATGGAAGGTATATTGTCGTGTGGGGTATTTTTCCTCTAACCTACTTGTACTTCATTTTTAGTGTGAGATTCGAGGATTTCTCATTCTGTAGGTGAAACCGGTCCCGGGGAGTTTCTCGAGATGCGAACCGTCCATGTATCCTAACAAACACGAAACAGCTGTATAGCGTTTCTCGTTTCTTCTGCATAGATTACTTTCATTTACCTTAAAATTTCTAATCCAGAAAATAACCTAGTATTCTCGATAAAACCTTTCATTCGTAATCTATCTAATTATTTCATAATCAAGTGATGACAAATTTTGTGTCCACAAATTTCCTCTACAACGAAAAATGACACTGAAATGGAAAGACCTCGGAGGAAAGTAATAGCTGAACTGTATCTGAAAAAAGGCTTGTTTCTTACACGGGTGTCTGAAGAAATACACGAGCTAACAAATGAATGAATCACAGCCAACTCACGTGACGAGGTGACCTGGAGCATCTGCTCCTGCCACTCCTAAGGGAAGACCAGGATTGATCAACTGTTGACGTGCCTCAGTGATACATTCACTGGCACCTTGGCATACCAGAGATAGATAATAATCCATGCGTGCCAATGATACGGTGTTCACAAGATTGGACATTAGACCTGCGAATCGGGTGCACAGCTTCTTTGTTCGGTCACCAAAAGTCTCGGTTGTGGTCGGTTTGAGAACGTCCTGCTCATCATCAGTGCTAGTGGATGACAAAGCCAATTCGCCAGTTGAATCTGTATGTGTCTCGTGCACTCCCATAGAATGTACCGCATTCGTATAGGTCTTCAAGAAGGTCTGTACACGTCCGTGGATCCGATCCAAAGCACGTACGAGGATCGCTGTGTCTGGACAATTGGGTTGCTGTAGATATAGTAATATTTTAATACTATGTTACTCGTTGCTTGAGGCGCCAGCTAAGGACGATTTGAAGTGTAAACAGAGAAACAAAACTGACCGTCAGAGAACGAAAACCAAAATGATCAGACAAGCTACGACATGGTAAACCAGAGAAATGCTGTTGTGTTGAGCTCTGTCCCAGAGTGATGAAAGTCCGAGCATCAAGTGAGATTTGGGACGCGGGATATGATTCTCAAGCTCAAATCGTAGTAAGTGATCTGTTGAGCTCTGTCCCAGAGTGATGAAAGTCCGAGCATCAAGTGAGATTTGGGACGCGGGATATGATTCTCAAGCTCAAAAAAAATCGTAGTAAGTGCAACTTGCTCGAATCACTCTCGAAAGTGATTTTCATTCAGACCGGTTTCTGCACAACTTTAGTAAAAACCCTTCGTATGAGATCCACAAAATTTGAGTGCGCCGCATATGTAAGCGTCCTACCTATTTGTTCCTAGAAAAATGACCAAGGGTAGCCAGCCAACACTTAGGTGGGATAGTGCCCATGATATACAAAAACCCAGCAGTGAATCAGATAACAATTCTACAACATTGGGGTGCTTTCTTCAAAATCCTTGTAGGCAAAAAACAAGAGTGGAAAACAACGGCAAGACCTTGCGGGGTGTCCATATTAAACAAGAATAGTGGAGGACATTACATTTCACCTAACAGCATGATAACCTTGATCCGTGTAGTTTCTCTCTATCGTAGCCTACCACGACCTTGCTGATTAGTCCACCGCGTGCAACCGTACAAGTGCGAAGCTCTAATCTGTCTTCCTCTGAGACATGCTTCAGTTAGTTTTTGTTCCGATTTTTGAGCGAACTTGATTTGGATAACCAACTGCTTCCGTCTCCCAAAAGTCCGGCTGATTGAAATCTGCTGCTCGTTTGTATGGTATCCTACGTAACAGTAAAGTGCGAGATGAAACTTCCCAATCAGGATCATTTGGAACGCATATCACTCAAAGTGCAGAAAGCGGACATTACTAACTTACAGACGGACGAAGCCTCTACGGAAAGTACAATCAAGAACTACTTACACTGAACCCGACGATCGGACTTGACATAATGCATAATAAACACACCAGTCGGGTCGCGTAGAATTCCCAAAGATGGAAACTTGTCAGACAAACCAGTGATAAGATTAAGAAACCAAATGTATGGTAAAAGCGAACTCTGCCTGATGCAAAGCAGGCCACGCTCTCCCATTCCAGTTCAGTCCAGTCCTGAGTGTGTGGTACTGCGATAGGTTTAGTTCAGCCGGTCGTTTGCTCGTTCGTCAAGTCTCTTTTCTTTATCATTTACTAATTATTCGTTGCGGTATCGACGGGCCCATTCGGTGGACCGTGGTGACGGGACAGAGAACAGGGAATGGATGAGACGTTTTAAAGCCTTAGACTAGTCTAGTTGTTCGAGTCTCCAAGGAAGTGGACGAGGCCAGTGGTAGGGCAGATAAGGCGCACATAAAATGCAGGCATATATATTCGCAAGAAGCTATCGCTGTCTGGATGGAATTTCCCAAACAGGCCTTGAAAAGATAAAAATTAGTTTGCATTTGCATTCCGACCATAAAAACAAGCGATTCGGACATCAGACGAACTGAAACGAGAATAAATATCTCGGTAATTTATGCCTGAGTCCCCGAAACTCCTCCCCGAAAAGAGAGTAATTCCTAACTCAGTTGAGAACACTATGATATTTAGTATGCACAGTGCTCGCAACAAACAGTCCACTTATTGTTTGGTCGTGGCGTCCTTAGGAAACAAGGCATCAAGGAGGTCAGTGTAATAACCCCGGCAATTGACTGGATGGAATGCGCCGCGAATTTCAATCGTTTTCCAAAGCAGATTGTAGTAATGCCCGGAGAATAACCTAGCTAGACCAATAGAGAACAAACTTTCCTTAGAGTGTGTTCAGATACTGGACTGATCCGTCAAAATTATCAATACCAGGCAAAGAGTGCTGGTACTATCATCTTTGATAGGCTTTGTATCATGAAAAAGGAACAAGGCATGGGCAGCTGTCTGGTCGTAGTAGAATATCCAGATAATGTGGGCCTATCTCAGGCCTCATTCTTGTGAATATCTCAGGAAGTCGAAGTATATCCGAGTACTCAGATTTGAGGCCTCTATGTAGTATGGCTTCCACACAGCACGAGATTTACAGTACTACCTGGTGGTCCCGACAGAGAGGCCAGCAATCGAAAAGCCGGAAATGGATTCCAACTGTATGCATTTTGCTGAGGCAAGTAAAGCTGCTAATTCTTCTGCCTGAAAACTCGAAGCAAACTAGAAATGATTGGCGTATTTACGGTGCGGAAACCCCAACCAACTGTTATGGGTACCGTCATAGCCAAAGAGTTATGCTTCGTTACACACCAAAATCAGGACGTTCAACACAGGATTGTACAAAGATGTCTAGACAAACCTGCACTTACATCCTCAGAGAAGCGTTCCTCCGTCAGTCGAAAAAAATGTCCCATCACTTCTTCCACCAGATCAGCCAGGTGGTTTTCCAAATCTGTTGCAGACAGATCCACACCATCCGAGTCTGGTTGGTCGGAGAGAACTTCCCTAAGATGCAGAGAAAAAAATTGATAAATGAAGGCGGCTTTTTCTCGGCACGTAAAAATGAACAGGAACGATAAAGTGTTGTTTGTGAAGGCATTGGAGTTGGCTACAAAGAAATGGAAGTCTATGATTAGTCGAGGTCCCCTAATCCTTCACTGGATTCTTGACCACATAAATTAGGTGTCGACAGTGATTCTGCTACAATTCTTTGCCAAAATGGATATATTGATGGTCCCTAGGTGTTTCACGGCAAGCTCAACTACTACGACACTGCCCGTATGGATTCGGTTACAAATAACTGAGTTTGCTAGATCTCAATGTCATTCAGACCGTGTATCATACCAGGAAAAATCAACTGTCCTGGATTTTTGCTGACCACGACCAAATATCATAAATGACATGAAACCCGTGCATAAAGATACTTCACTAACATCACCTGATTAATGTTTTACGAATGAAACTCACAACAAGCTTTAAAGAAACTCGGTACAAAGCACATCAAATAATGAAGTCGTGCTGGAGAATTTCCAGGAATCGCGAGGGGGCGTTGATAGCGATACAAGACGCGTTAGTCCCGTGACCAAATGAATTTGTTTCTTTGCTTTAATTTACGGTAGGTCGAAAAGTCTAACAGACAGCACGTACAGAGGGGAGACGCCCTGCTACTTTATGACAGGAAATTCAAAACAACCGAAATTCACCATTTACCTTCTGTTATCTGCTAGAAGCCACTAACGACCCAGCACTGAAACCCGAGAGATTTAACCAACAAAACCGTTTTGTGATCTACCAAAAAGCAAGCCGTAGACGGAATACAGTCCTCATGTAACAGACAGCAATCTTTCACCAGGGACACCATCATCATCAAAGACAGCAACATCAGTGTTGACATTGACGTTCACCGCCGTACAACCACAAGACCTATCGAACTGTATGTAAAGCAATTGGGTGCAAAGAAGAAAAACAGTAGATGAGAGAAGCGACCTGGTGCTGGCCTATCGCAAGCATTCTGAGATGCCTACACCACCAAGCGTTCAACCAGACAAGTTGGACGGCACTTACATCGATCAGGCATCATTTCTTGCAATGTCTCCGACCAAGCGAAGGAGGGTTCACAGGCGCCCTAGAAGGCGTACCGCAACAACACCGAACCTGTTCATAATCTCTTTTATGACCTTCTACCAAGTTATACGTTATCCACCTCCCGATTTGCGTCATTCTGAAAGAGCTACGAAGAATAATCCTCGTTTCCGTAGACGCTGTTTCACCATGCGTAGCATATGGCCGAGTCACCGCAGTTCAGATTTTCCACGACTGAAGTGCCTGCCGCACAACCAAATACCCGTTTTCTAATGAACTTGTTACGAATTCGTTGACGTCATACAACACCAACAGCACTTCTGAGGAATTGGCGGTCAAAAACCTGAAGACGCCTCACATCACCTGTCCGCAGAGGCCATGTTTTGCAACCAGCAACAAAACAGCCCATTCTGAAGTCTGGCACACGCGACCCTTGAAACCAAGCGATATGTCATTTTGACCCCCCAAGTAACGCAAATTAGCATTTGAGACTCGTGCACTGGCTTCACCAGACATACTTTCGTCAGGGCCGATACAACTACCAGTGTATGTAAAATTATTCAAAACATCCAAGTGTTCTTGAGTTGTAAGGGGTATGCTCTGAAGATGCGAGACACATGCCGAAAGACGGTATGACGTAAGAAGCTTTGTTAGAACAGGAGTCAAACTGATAACTCTAAGGTTACCGCATTCACCGCGAGTGAGCTTTTTGAAAATAAGCACTATTATCGAGTCGCTCAAGTTATCTGGAACGGTGTTTATCTCCCACATAGACCTAAATGGATTGAACAGGCATTGACTGAGAGATTCACTTACATTTTTGAATAGTCAGCGGGATGAGAAACAGATCAGTGGTTAGAGCGGTGGCTGACCGGAAGGTCCGTGATTCGAACCCAACCTCAGCATTTCGACATCTGTTTAGGTTTGGGCAACCTGGCAGTATCCCAGCCCTCATGTTTCCTTCGGATGGCATGGCAGATGAGCACCGAAAGGGAATTACAGCTGAAGGCAGTCAGAACCGAGGGCACGATGACACTTGAGTAGAGGCACACTCGGACACTCACAGTCCACCTTTCTGTTGAAGGGCGGTATTCCGGATGAGGTAGCAAATGGCCAACTGAACTGTTGTTCAAAGTAATGTGCCCGGGGAACAGTCGGACGAATCAAGTGGAACGGTATGTGAACATTTCCAGTATTTTTCGCATCTTCCATCCATTCGGCCCTTCGGGTCCACCAAGCTTCTCAGTCTACACGGATGCCGTTTCACCTGGCGTCGGGTGATACGCTGGATTTAGTTGTGGCTGCGGCCAGGAGTAACCTGTCGCCGGGCCGCCAGCAAAGCCATGGTCCTACTAGAGACCCAATGTTTTGATGAGGTTGGCTAAGTTGTACTACAAACGGAGGTTGCGGCCCTGAGTAGCGCATTGGATATCTGTTCCCGACATCGGGAGATCCTACAAGTTTTCGGGGAGCCGGTTCTGATAAGTTCGTCTAATTTCCAGATCCACTAGCTTCTCAATAGCTAAGTGATGTGTGCGCGGTTTGCGTAGACCTCAAAAGAGAAAGCAACAGCACACAAATTCATGGTCGGAGACCATGTTGGTATTCCAGAAGGAGGGGCAGGCAATGGTCGACCCTCGCCACCGGTAGCTTGGCGCGATGTGTTCTATCTGTATTCGGGACTGGTTCGTTGATGGACACCACGTTGTTAGACGATTTCCGCTATCCCGGAAACTCAATAGCTAAGTGATGTGTGCGCGGTTTGCGTAGACCTCAAAAGAGAAAGCAACAGCACACAAATTCATGGTCGGAGACCATGTTGGTATTCCAGAAGGAGGGGCAGGCAATGGTCGACCCTCGCCACCGGTAGCTTGGCGCGATGTGTTCTATCTGTATTCGGGACTGGTTCGTTGATGGACCGTTGTTTGTTAGACGATTTCCGCTATCCCGGAAACTGGCACTGCAAAGGAACAGTCTGTGATCGGTACAAATATGAAGCCCTTCTCCTTTGTCCGTTCGTCTCCTATCCAGCTCAAGACGACCACCCCACTGGACCTTAGTAGCTTTTAGTTCACCTATTTAGGCGTTCATGTCACCAGCAAACACAACTATGTCGGAGCTTTTAGTCCATTGTAGAAGAGCACCTAGAACGTCAAAGGAATTGCCTCTGGCAGATTCAGAGCTACAGTCCGTTAGGGCGCAAGCAGACACAACAAACAGTGTGCGAGGAACCTCATTTTCTCATGATTCTTTAAAAGACGTTACCACACGAACCGCGCAGAAACGACTATGAACGAGTATGCAATCAAGTACAGGCGCTTCCGCTTGGTCGTCAATACAACACCCACGTCTGTATATCTAGCTGCAGCGGCCTATTCATCACCGGAAGTTGCAGCCGGGACTTGGAGAGTGAGGGCTATCAAGTTGAAATACAGTACTTATGTCCCGTATCCTTGTCTTCGACAGACGCCATACATCAATGCATAGGGAATCCAGTGTATGAGCGAGAGCAGCTCACTATCTAGCTGCCCCAGTATGCGAACTTTAAAAGTGGCTATCACACCGACTTTCTGTTTGTGAAAATAGACTTCGAAGTGTCTAGGATTGCTGCTAGTCTAACACAGAAGCTGCAGTTGTTTGTGATACATGGGGAAAAAAACTATCAGTCCAAGTGCTGGGATCTGCGGAAAGAGCATGCAAATTGGAGCGCTGTAGGGTAGAATAGCAAATACACGAAAGTGTAAGAAGACAAGCGTCAGCAATAGCATTTATTCGCCTACTCGCAACAGCAAATAGGACGACCCGGCTGGCACCAAAACAGGACGGCCGGTGTGGAGTGGAAATATTATCGGTTGCGAGTGCATCGACTGTAAGTGGGCTGGGATAGTGCGGGTGCGCCCAGACCTAGAGGGTAGGAGAATTAGGGTTCTACACCAAAGCATTAGGCTTGAAAGCCGGACTGCAAGGCAGTGGTGTGTGGTGGAAAATTCAAGTACATTACCATTTCGGCAGAACAATTCGCCAAACATGTTCCAACCCTCAATCTGGAAAGCCAGGAGGGTGTGTTGATCTGCCCTCTAACCAGTGACCAACCTGGTATGAGAGACTACACGGGTGTCCCAAGGACGCCACCCAGTATAGCCTAATGGGTCAGGGAAGCACACAAACCGACACACCACGGTAAGGTCCGGCCTCCTTGAGAAATCCTATTAATAAGTACTGTGCTACGGCCCCAGCCTTATGTCTCTTCAGAACTAGTGTTCACGCTGAAATAGCGTTAACTATCCCTTTTGGTTCAAGGTTGATTTTTATCATCGTTCAGAAATAAAGACATAGCAGCTGTAAGCGGTGAGTCTTGCTTCGCAGCTGATAGCTGATTACTGATTATTAGACGAAAAGTGGTGCAAAAGTCGCCACGTTGCTGCTCATCTGGCATCGCCACCCCGCATCGGCTTGGAAGGAAAGAGGTACCGACTCCGAAAGGCTAGTCGTTCAAATATCCTATTATTAGTGCTTCAAGCGTCAACCACTGCGATTAAAGTCAAAGGGACGAAGGCGGCCACAACACAGTCATCAGTAGAAAAAGGCTAGTCGTTCAAATATCCTATTATTGGTGCTTCAAGCGTCAAGCACTGTGATTAAAGTCAAAGGGACGAAGACGGCCACAACATAGTCATCAGTAGGTCAGATATAGGATGTTGTTGAACGAATAAAAAACTGCTAAATTTAATTAGACATCTAGGGAGAATGGGAAATAAATTTGAACTAATAAAGGCCCGCACGGTAGACATGTACTAAGACTGGGAAGTGTTTCCGCAAATGTCTGTGATTCCTGAGAATTTGGACATCGGTGGTTAATCTATAGGGTGCGATCCACCCGTTATAGAGCACGGTAAGAAAAGCAAAAACGCCTGGATTGTCGTGATAAGTAGTGTTAGGCTTTCCATAGTAAGACAAACTCACAATATGGTGTCGGCAACTTCATCATCCGGTGAAGTGGCAGCGAACAAGTTGGTATACGCGGTTACATATGCACATAGCTCGTTCAATAAGGACTCCGTTATCGAGTTGGCAAAGTGCAGCATATCCTGGGAACAGAGTGGAAGACGGGAGCTATGAAATTATTTCAAACGCCAAGAATAAAAGTAATCTGCCAGTGAAACCAGTCGGTGCATAGTTCATAATGAACAGGTTGGAATCCTGTAGCTTGAAATACCACCAGGTCACTCGAGCCTATCGACCCAGATATGGTGGACTCTTCATATGGCGGTTTAATCCCCACAATTCATTGGGTATAAGAGCCTTCCAATAGGTTTAAATGAAAAGTCCATTCGAAACTTTTTGTTTGCCATGAAGAACGACAGTGTTTTTCCTTCTTGTGGAACATTACAGCGGGGCCGCTCCAACTTCCGCGCAGTCCCTTTAGCAAGAAACCAGTCCGCAATTTCGCCCTTGTGAGATACGTACTGTGTAGCCGGAAGTGTGTAGCTGAGTGTTTCTACAGCGAGAAAGTAATTCACAATGTGGTAACCGAACCAAAATGTGTAACCGGTATCGAATGTGGAGATCAGTATACCAATTAAAAATATATCTTTCTTGGATACAGGAGCATTTTCCAAGGCAATCAGTATCGCAAATAAGTCAGCTGGACGTATCTACATCAAATGCCGCACTCACAAAATTAGCTAGCATCATATTGGCATTATAGTCGGATATGGCTTGCTCCATTTGAGTTAAGGAAGCCACCAAACAGAATTTTTAGCAACATTTCGGGTTTGTTCTTGAAAGCACTCAGGCTACGCCAGTAATTTCGAAAGTTTTTACTTCCAGACACATTACATTGTATAACTTTGCCGGTGTTTAACCTTTTAATCAATGAAACGGCGCAGTCTGAACTTACCACACGAAGGAAATTCGAATGGTCTGCACCCTTGAGGGCGTCTGTGCTTCCAGGGCCAGTAAAATTCGCAGTCTCTGATTGTTCACTACGATCCGGTGCATCAGACGAAGAGTCATCCTCGGACAACGCTTTTACCTGTAAATCTACAACGATCGCCTGTAATCGGTCTCGAGCGCTTGGGAAAAAAACGGATCCAAAGTACTTATCAGAAGGAACGTCGAAAAGCAAGGCTGACTTCAAAAATGAATCGACGGGAAAAAATGCTTAAAATGTTCACACGGGCAGTGAGTCGAACGGATAGTATTCAGATCACACCGGTGCTAGCAAAAATGAATCGACGGGAAAAAATGCTTAAAATGCTCACACGGGCACTGAGTCGCTGATTTCGAACGGATAGTATTCAGAGCACACCGGTGCTAGCAAACCACCGTTTTGATGAAATTCTGTGGCGATGAATAGACCGTAAGTAAGAAGATTTCAGTTTATATGCATATCATATTTGTTTCGTATATTAATAACAGAGCGTACAATGCACAGCAAAAGATGCTGTCATCTGAACCAACATCATTACTTAGTGGCTAGAGTTCCTGCTTTACCAAAGTTTGTTCTGGAACTAGACTAGCTATAAATTCCAGCGCCGTCTACAACAGTTATTTGAACTTTCGATAGGGTGCTATACCACCAGCGGGCCCAATAGCCACGTGTTCTATTGACAGAACAATCGCGCTGGAATTCGAGCAAACCTATATAGTTTACCTTTGCACCACAACATCATCGCCATTGTCCAGTTCGTACGTCCGCTTATCCCGATCGATGCCACCTTACTCAACCAAAATAAGTACATACCGCAAGGTCTTAAAAAATAAGTAAATCAGGTTTTGGGAGTTCATGAAAGCACACCAACTGAAAGTGACAGTGTTAGTGCTGTGATGAAACAAAAAGTACACTATACCAACAATTTTGTGGTGATCTCTGCAGTGAACACTTGTTCATAATCGATTCTCCAGAAAACACAACAACAAAAGGAAAACAAGGGTAAACCTGTCCTTGGTGTTGTTATCCCCCATACAAGATAACGTCAAAAAGTGAGCAACTCAAAGTGACCTACAAAGCAAACCACCTCTATTTATGTACAGAAAGTGCCGAGAAAACAACCGCTTCAACCCATGACGAGCTTGACATTACATATCTCATTGAATTTGTAAAAACTTTAAACCAGTACTAAAAGCCTGTCTGTCTAAAGAACCGCTCTGTGAAGATCTCCTTCATCTAATACGAGCGTATGGCAGCATGACAGTGCGCTGTCCATCAGAACCTCTCTAATACTTGCAATTTGGCAAGGCTTTTTTAAGGCCGTGTAAAAAAGGAAATAGCCTAACCAAATGGAAATGTTCTCACCTTTCTACAAATGCTGATGAAAGCTTGGGTGTTCGTAATCCGAGGTTTTTTAGAAGCTTCAGATTCGAATAAAACTCTCCAGCGTCGGTCTACATGAAAACTTCGTAATAGCAATAGGATGAGTTCACGTACGGCTCGCTCAAACTGTGCCCAAAATCTTTGTTGTATGTCCACAACCACTTGAAAGCAGTCCTTTCTTATGTTTTTGAAAGAGGGAGTAGTGTGATACATCTTCAAAATCAGTTTGGTCTGATTCAGATCTTCTACGGCAGACTCCCACTGACCGTTGAGAACAAATGTTCGAAGACGGCCCGGTAGTTCTACAAGATGCTTGAGCTGCCGTGAATTTCGCATGAACTGGAAAGTAATATTGAAACTCACCTTATTTAATGAGTGTTGGGTTGCGCTGAGCGTCTTCAGTTTATCCTGTTCTCCTAAAAGGCGCTCCTTAATCTTCTCTGACAAAGAACCAATGGAAGCCATATTTTTCACCAAGCAGTTCATTTCATTTTCAACGTATTTGAAATCGGCTTTCATCTTACAAAAACAAAAGTGAAAATTGCAACATCAACTCACCATTTGTATTGTGTCCGTCGCACTGATGAATTTGCTGTAGTTATCATACATCAAGGTTTGCATTTCCGAATCCAGATTGCGAATTTGCTCAGTTAATACCTTCTCTTCTAACACCAAGTCGGACAGATCTTTTTCACGCAAGTGTTTTTCCATATACAACTGGGTGTTGAATGCCTGACCGTCTATATTGTAAACGTCCGTCTGTGTGTCGATCTCACGCGGTCGCGAGTTGTGATTGTCAGCATGCTGGTTATTAAGTGCATCTGGTGTCCCCCTGTAGAACTGTAATAGCTGGTCTTTTGTAACCCGCCTGCGTCCGTCTTCATTCATTGTTCTGAAATAATCGAGAGTTATACATCGACCAATGAAGTGCGATATCAAGTGAGAGAAAAAGTCAACTCGCACCCCAAACTTACATTTTTACAACTTTTAAGTTAGGCTTCAAGTTATCCTAGTCCATTCTATGACACTTGAATGCCTATGATTCCCTGAATGCTAACGGTCATGGCTGCACAGCTAAAGCAGCTAGCTCTTGTAAAAGAATGACCAGTGGCTCAACACAACGGGCGAAAGTCCCATGCCTACAGAAATCATATAAGCATCAAACCAACCACGTCTAATATGTTTATGCTGATGTTTTCAGGACAACAAGTAGGCACAACCAATGGTCTGTGTAACCTCACCAGTGATAACTGCTGTTTTCGAAAAAATCGCACCAGGGCTTAAACTAGATAGTTCGCTTAAACCTGCTAAGTAATCACAACAAAATCCACTGCAAGCCTCCATCCAGGGACTTTAAAAGATATGCGAGCTTTGACAACACGCTGGGCGATCCAGAAGAAAATGAGCTGATTAAATGGTACCTTGTTAACAGCCGATTGCAACATGAGCTGTGTGAGTTCACGCTCTGATGAGAAAAAATGAAACAACAGGCAGCTTCTGTACGTTGTGTGTGCGTCTGCACGGATAAGCCAACAGTTCAGACTTAGCCAGAGATGCCTTCTAACAAAGACTATATAGCCTACTACAAAAGTCCCATAGAACGGATACTCTGGCTCCAGCATAGGGCCTAAATGCATGAATCAGTCGCCTTTCTTTACGCGGCATCCGTTTGACATATTGGTCTAGACGGCAGACATTGAGATAGTAGGGCTAGACCTTTCGGTTTGTGGTCAATCCACAAACACCTTAACAATACCAGCTTCGGACACTGCAAACACTGATGGACCAAGTGGTAGTCACCTCCTGAACATTGGTGTAGCCGTCAATCCAACTGATAAAGATGATCTGTAGAGTTGTATATTAAACCGTGAAATAATAATAATATTAATCCTTCGGTTGTAACGCCCTTTCAGCGCCTAGCTGCCATGCCATCCGAAGGAAGCACGCGGGCTGAGATACTACTCCATCAGGTGTTAGAGCATGTACAGACGACCCACAGTCTCGGCATTCCTTGACTTCAAGGTTGTGTTCAATTCTGTCGATCGGTCAATGCTGTTAACTACACTTGCTCAACAGGAGAGCCCATTATACACTCTCACCCGCCCAGAGGTATGTAAATATGGGGATCGGATTATGTTTACAAACTTCTGGGGCATATCCTGTTGAGCAAGTGTAGTTAACAGCATTGACCGATCGACAGAATTGAACACAACCTTGAAGTCAAGGAATGCCGAGACTGTGGGTCGTCTCAGGTCATGGTTGTATGACCAAAAGCTTCCCTGCAAAAAGTGGTGTACAACAAGGATGTCCACTCTCTCCACTCTTGCTCAACTTCATCATTGATGAAGGTCTTCAAAACCCCGGTGTTCAGATTGTTGGTAGTGAGAACCTTATCGATCTGGAGTACGAAGACGACATCGCTCTCATCTTCGAAGACCAAAACGAAGCCTTGTTGAATATACTGACCGACATCGTACCATCTTTTGGCATGCGCCTTGCACCTTAAAAATGCAAAGTCATGCTTCAGAACGTGCAGTCTCTGAACATATCTGCCACAATTCAAAGAGAATCACTAGAGATTGTGGAGAACTTAACACACCTTGTCAGACGCACTAGCTCTCACGGAAATGTGTCTGATAAAGTCGATACAGGAGTCCTAAAGGCTCGAATCACGTTTGCTAATTTGCGTCACTTGTGGCGTCAAAAAGGAGTATATGATGCAAGGCGTTTTCAGATTTCTGACCACCGATGCCCCAGAAGGGTTGCTGCTTTTGGATGATGTCAGCGTATTAGTAGCGAAGTTACTAGAAAATGGGTATTTGGTTGAGCGGCAGGTGGGGCACGAGATGGCTCAAGTGGTTAGAGCGCGAATTTACTGACCGAAGGTTCGTGGTTCGAACCCGACCTCTGCTCCTTGACTTCCCCTGTCCACGCTTGGGCAATCTGGCAGTACACCGGTTCTCGTGCTTCCTTCGGGTGGCATGGCGGCTTGGCACCAGAAGGGTGTTACAGCTGAACGATTTGAGCGGTAGGTACTTTAATCGAGGAAAACATCCAGCACCGCCAACTACGATGGCTCGGTCATGTACTACGCATGCCGAAACACCGTCCACAGAGATTAGTGTTGTTCTCAGTGCCTCCTTCGGAATGGTGGGAACCGCGAGGTGAACAACGCATAACTTGGCAGAAGGGCGTGAAAGAGATTACGAGGAGTTTGAGTTTTGTTGGTGTTGTACGCCCTCCGGGATGGGGTCCCGGTGACCCAGCCTGTGTTTGGGTGAGAAAATTGCAAGAAATGGCGGCTAACCGATGTCAGCGACGTTCGTCCTGTCAGTTACTTTCCAGATTGCCTGATTGAGCGCTTGGAGGTGAATGCATCTCAGAATGCTCATAAACCAGGTCTCCTCCCTCATCCACTCGTTTTCTCTTCTTTTCACTCTAGGGCATTAAATATAATTAGACGAACCTCACGGTTATACGGCGGCGAAGCATCAGTGTCAACATTGATTTAGCTGTTATTGATGAAGAAACCAGATCCGGTGAGGCAGGGTCGATCTTCTGCAGTTCAACGCAGATCGATCAGGTCGCCTTCGGCCATCAAAAGGAGGATTTGTGGATATGCTGGACGACAGGTGTACTGTGGAATCACGTACCTGTTTGTCAAAACTTCCTTGCGTTTATGTGGGCAATACTGAACTCATTTTCATCATACCAATGTGGCGTACTTGTTATAAGGGTCTGTCTCAGGTAGGTTTCGATGCGAACTTGCTACTAGTGTCTCTGCTGCCACTGGCATTAAATTAACAATAGAAACTCCATCTCAACCAGTACAGAGGAGCCTTACCAGAATGGAGAAGCAAAAGTAGGGGTTCAGCGCGAAAAAACCCGACGGATCCAGGAGAACCGATCAACGGCAAGGTAGCGAAAATCATGCCAAAGTAGGGCACTATCAGCCGCCTCGTTGAATGCAGTGCTGATTATCCTCAAGAGTGAAAAAGTTGGACAGCGCTTCTCGGCATTTCAGCGCAAATTGGTCTCGCGTGCACAGGGAAAACTTCATTAGAAACTTCAAAAATTATTCATATTGTCGACAACTGCTAACGAGATATTTCCATCGTCCCCTGTGAAGCTCATGGAACACTATAACAGCACACAACAACAAAACTTTTGGTTGGGCAGACCGGCAAGGAAACAGAAGAAAGCGCACGACTAGGACAGTTTATTCGCAACATCCTGTGGGGATCCCAGCTACTTATAATGAGGATCACGACAGCCTTAGCTAGGGAGGCGTAGCACCAGCTCTTGACTGTAGCCGCTTTGATTCCGAGCTCGAGAGAGTTTAGCGGTTAGAGAGCAAACTTACTAACCAGGCCTGTGGTTCGAACCCAAACTCAGCATCTCAACTACGTTTGTCTCGGCTTGTACAACCTGGCAGTACCACAGTCCTCGTGCTCCCTTTAAGTGGCACTCCAGCCATACATCGAAAAGGTGTCATAGTTGAAGTATCATTTGTCAAGTGATGGCATCTGGCCGCGGACCTATAACCAAACACTATGGAACTAGAAATAGCGCGTTTTGGTAGGCGGTGGTGGACATCTGTAGTGCATAATCCGATCACCTTATCCAGGTAAGTTTAATTTCCTGCCAAACTGGTCTTGGTTCGTCACGATATTTTCGTTTACCCACCACTTTGAAGCAAATACGCTGCAGCCAGTCGGCCTTTGGTAGGCTATAGAGATACCGGTGATCGAAAATTAGAAGACGTCCGGGGTCCTCAAATCGAAGTGGCTAATTGTGGAAATTAGCCCCCTTCACAACCGTAAAACATGGTTGTTCCTGTATATGCCCACTTGTTTCCACGAAATTCGCTTCTGACTCTACAGAGAAAGTGAGGTGTCCAGAGTCGCCTGTGTTCTGACCATACGCGTAATTTAAAAATCATTCAGCTGCAGCACTCTTTCGGTGCCCAGCTGCAATGCTACCCGAAGGGAGCACGATGGTTGGGATACTGGCAGGTTGCCCAAGCTCAGACTGGAGAAGTCGAGAGGCAGAGATCAGATTCGAACCACGAACCTTCCGGTCGGAAAATTCGTGCTCCAACCAGAGTCATCTCGTCCCTTAATAAGCGTAATCACTTCATCTGTTCCCGTATGCTTGCGGTTTATGCTACTACCAATGAACAAAATCGAGCAAAACTAGATGCACGGGAAACACTGGAATACGAAGCTAAAAGGAAAGCCTACATATACATGACCCAAGTCCATCGACCTATCCTCACACTTGTTTTGATGCGTTGTTCCATGGTCTTTCAGAATATCGACGCTGACTACCAAAACGAAAATAGGCGAAAGGGGAGAACCTCGATCGGTTCGGATGGTCGTTAGAAAGCTTGTCGACAGTCTATTGCACAGCTTAGTCCAACTGCGGTTGACCAAAAACTCCCCTAATGAACAGGTCCACAGCAGCCACGAAAGCCCCTCAACGCAGCCTACGGTTCAGTCGCTCTGGGATTCCAGGGACTATTGCACCCGAGCGTGGCAGTCGCTGCAGTTCATAGGTGTTTACGATTTCATCAGAAGCAGAGTGTAACACATGCCCATGTGCCATCGCTCTATCCATAGTTGAAAGGTCCGGCGAAAAGGTTTGTTGACACCCTAAGGCTAGCATCCCATAAGTAGGAATGGGAATCGCCAACCGGAGGACGTCTTTAGAGGTTCATTTAGACATATCGAGTGACGCTAAATCCAAATTATCCAGCGAAGGAACTGCCATAGCGAAAGTTTCAAACACTTCAGAACACCACCCATGGGACATTAATGTCCCGTTACAGTTGTAGCAGTCAAACAGACTTTAATCGCGAGCCCCCTAAGCCAACGCCGGGCATCATTGATTCCGGTCTACAGAGGTAGGCGCCTGGTGTGGATACCAGAGAATAACTTTTGCCGCTGCCACTGCCGTCCCATCTAATCAACAGATAAACTCACGGCATCTGAAATGTGATGGGATGCCATTGCTTTTCACATTCACTACGTCGGGAAAGCGTCGGAATAACGCTATCTGCTGCCATCGGGAGAAACATATGTGGCTATGGTGACCTTCCTCATAGCTCTGGCGCAGAACGGTCGTCGAACCACGGATTCACGGCGTTCAGTATTCGTACAATTGAATTGAATTTTCGAAAGCAACCGCGTGTTTCTGATGGACAAAAACATACAGGAAATCGAGTTCTGAATATCAGTCCAAACTTTTGAGCCCTGGGGTCACAGTGATGCAAGGAAAGTATTCCAGAGCGTTGGCTTTTTAGGCTAACCAAGAGGTCTGCCAGCATAAGGCTTTGGATCTGACTCTTCAACCGGAACGAGTAAACACTGTGTTTTAGGGGAAATGTGGTTACAGCCATCTCTCTCCCAGGTTCTCTGAGAGGCTTGCCTTAAAGAACCGCCTATAATCGCACTCATAGAGACCTGGCTCACACCAGATGTCTATAAGGCGGAGATCTCGATAGACGGCTAATCTATTTTTCGAGCTGACTCAAAACGAAGGAGGGTTGTTGGGGTCGCCCTGTACTTACATGCAACCCTTCCATTCCTGACTGTACTCTCTAATACCACTTCTGCACTTTTTTGCGATACATTGTGGGTCAAAATCTCGCTGCGCGGGTCCGATTCTCTACTCGGTGTGGTCTACCGTAGCCCCTCGAATCCCCCTGAAGATGACCCATTCCTTATACGAGCCTTTGAGCAACTCTCCTTCAACTACCACTTCACTCACCTCCAGTTAGTAGGTGACCTCAACGCTCCAAATGCCTTCTAGGTGGAGATCCGGCGCGTCGGATCAAGCGGACCTTTTGAAGTGGCGCTGATTGAAGTCGTTCAACAGAGTGCTTGGACTCAAAATGTCCTCCCAACCACCAGATACCGCGCGGGCCAACTACCGTCCCTCCTGGATTTGGTCATCACTAATGAAAGACACTTCCTTGATCAGGTAACAATTACCGCTCCACTGGGACATAGCGACCACCACGTGCTGACCTTTGATATCATGTGCTACTGGACCAGAAATTCCGAACCTCAAACGTGGTTCCGAATCTTCCGCCGTGCAGACTTCCCAGAAATGCGCAAATTTTATGAACAAGTCACCCTGGAACCAGCTCCAGTGGAAGGACTCATTGGACCATTGTCCAAAAAGTTCGCGAGGCATACGCGACGTTCGTCTCAAAAAACCAGCACGCACTCGGATGAACCGGAGGATGCCAAAAAGGATTCGGCGACACCTGGAAAAAAGGTCCCAACTCTGTTTCAAAAAGTTGACTACAGGGGATATAGAAGATGAGCTGGCATTTCGTGAAATTCGGAACCACTGTAAACCAGAAATGCGCCAATGGAAAGTACGAAAATAAGCCACCGTTCTGGGCCTCGCCCGGAAAACAGATGTGATGCTCAAATGCATAAAACAGTGCGCAGACACAAGCCATCCGTGTTCACCTTGAGGGAGAAGAAAGGAGAGTGATCCAACAGTGGTATCTGAGGTTTAGAGAGAACACTCTTCAGGTCTATTTTCAGCCCCAGAGTCCTCACAACATCCACTTTTATCAAGGTGTAACTACGAACAGCGGATCCTGAAGGAAATGTCGTCCACACTGGCAAATCATCTACACCTGGTATTTCGTCAGTCGCTTGACGGAGGTCACTGTCCCAGTGCTTGGAAGGAAGCGATTGCCACGCTTTTTCGTCAGTCGCTTGACGGAGGTCACTGTGCCAGTGCTTGGAAGGAAGCGACTGCCACGCTAATTTACAAAACTGGTGACCGACTACCACCTGGCAGCTACAGGCCTATAAGCCTCATTGGTGTGTCATGCAAGGTGATGGAACGCATTCTGAAGCGAGCTACCCTAGACCACCTTACTTCCAGCAACCTGATATCTCCAGCTTAACACGGATTTTTCCCACACCGCTCTTGTGTGACAAACATGCTCGTGTTTATGGACAGCTTAACCCAAGCCAAGGACGAGGGACTCATATCGAATGCCATATTTTTCGGATTCTTAAAGACATCTGATAGGGCCCCAGACGTCCCGCTGCCCCACAAACTCGAGTATTACAGGATTCAAGAGAAAATCCTTCGCTGGATCAGGGCGTTCCTCTCAGACAGATCAATCCGAGTGAGAATAGGCTCGACCCACTCCCCACCAGCGCCGGTCTACATTGGAGTTCCTCAAGGCTCCGTCATGGGCCCACTGCTGTTTCTGATCTGCGTCAACGACCTTCCAGATGTTCTTGCAAGTCCATGTCTACTTTTTGCAGACGACTTGATATCCTGGATTTCCAATGCCAGTACCCTCCAAATGTATGCACACACTGCAAACCAGTGGTCATCGGGCCGGCACTTTCCTCTGAATAACGAAAAGTGCGTCCGTATGTCATTTGGAGGTGACTAGGCGAATGCCTTTGTCATGTCTGGTGTGAAACGGCCATAAAACATCGTGATGATAGACGCAAAAAATGATTTGGGTGTCTAGGTCTCCTCGAACTTGTCGTTCTAACTGCGCCGTGAGAAAT